AGAATCTTCCTAGAGCTGGCCGTCAGGCCAAACTGAGCAATCAGGGGAGAAGGGCCTTGGTCAGGGAGGTGATAAAGAACCCGATGGTCACTGACAGAGCTCCAGAGTTCCTCTGTGGAGATGGGAGAACCTTCCAGAAGGACAACCATCTCTGCAGCACTCCACCAATCAGACCTTTATGGTAGAGTGCCCAGACGGAAGCCACTCCTCAGTAAAAAGCACATGACAGCCCACTTGGAGTTTGCCAACAGGCACCTAAAGGACTCTCAGACCACGAGAAACAAGATTCTCTGGTCTGATGAAACCAAGATTGAACTCTTTGGCCTGAATGCCAAGCTTCACGTCTGGAGGAAACATGGCACCATCCCTACGGTGAAGCATGGTGGCAGCATCATGCTGTGGGGATGTTTTTCAGCGGCAGGGACTGGGAGACTAGTCAGGATCGAGGCAAAGAAGAACAGAGCAAAGTACAGAGAGATCCTTGATGAAAACCTGCTGCAGAGTGCTCAGGACCTCAGACTGGGGTGAAGGTTCACCTTCCAACAGGACAACGACCCTAAGCACACAGCCAAGACAATGCAGGAGTGGCTTCGGGACAAGTCTCTGAATGTCCTTGAGTGGCCCAGCCAGAGCCCGGACTTGAACCCAATCTAACATCTCTGGAGAGACCTGAAAATAGCTGTGCGGCGACGCTCCCCATCCAACCTGAAAGAGCTTGAGAGGATCTGCAGAGAAGAATGGGAGAAACTCCCCAAATACAGGTATGCCATGCTTGTAGCGTCATACCCAAGAAAACTCTAGGCTGTAATTGCTGCCTCAACAAAGTACTGAGTAAAGGTTCTGAATACTTATGTAAATGTGATATTAACATATATATATATTTTTTTTATATATACATTTGCAAAAATGTAAAAAGTGTTTTTGCTTTGTCATTATGGGGTATTGTGTGTAGATTGATGAGGGGGGAAAAAACGATTTAATCCATTTTAGAATAACTTAACAAAATGTGGAAAAAGTCAACCGGTCTGAATATTTTCAGAATGCACTGTAATTGATGCAGATAAATACAGTCTAAACCAGCGTGAGTATTATCAGGAAGCACTCTGCATATTATTATTATTATTATTATTGTCAATAGAAAATTATGGTAGTCAAAATAAAAAACTTCTATCAACTCTTATTGGTCTCATTTACAGTAGGATCACATAAAGCCAGTGGATCATTGTGATATAGTCTTGAGCTTCCTTTCCTAAGCATCTACAAGCAACACAGGAGTAAAACAATTATCTTCAAATAATATATAAACTCAGCAAAAAAAGAAACGTCCCCTTTTCAGGACCCTGTCTTTCAAAGATAATTCGTAAAAATCCAAATAACTTCACAGATCTTCATTGTAAAGGGTTTAAACACTGTTTCCCATGCTTGTTCAATGAACCATAAACAATTAATGAACATGCACCTGTGGAACGGTCGTTAAGACACTAACAGCTTACAGACGGTAGGCAATTAAGGTCACAGTTATGAAAACTTAGGACACTAAAGAGGCCTTTCTACTGACTGAAAAACACCAAAAGAAAGATGCCCAGGGTCACTTCTCATCTGCGTGAACGTGCTTTAGGCATGCTGCAAGGAGGCATGAGGACTGCAGATGTGGCCAGGGCAATAAATTGCAATGTCCGTACTGTGAGACGCCTAAGACAGCACTACAGGGAGACAGGATGGACAGCTGATCGTCCTCGCAGTGGCAGACCACGTGTAACAACACCTGCACAGGATCGGTACATCCGAACATCACACCTGCGGGACAGGTACAGGATGGCAACAACAACTGCCCGAGTTACACCAGGAACGCACAATCCATCCATCAGTGCTCAGACTGTCCGCAATAGGCTGAGAGATGCTGGACTGAGGGCTTGTAGCCCTGTTGTTAGGCAGGTCCTCACCAGACATCACCGGCACAAACCCACCGTCGCTGGACCAGACAGGACCAGCGAAAAGTGCTCTTCACTGACAAGTTGCGGTTTTGTTTCACCAGGGGTGATGGTCGGATTTGCGTTTTTCGTCGAAGGAATGAGCGTTACACTGAGGCCTGTACTCTGGAGCGGGATCAATTTGGAGGTGGAGGGTCCGTCATGGTCTGGGGCGGTGTGTCACAGCATCATCGGACTGAGCTTGTTGTCATTGCAGGCAATCTCAACGCTTTGCGTTACAGGGAAGACATCGTCCTCCCTCATGTGGTACCCTTCCTGCAGGCTCATCCTGACATGACCCTCCAGCATAACAATGCCACCAGCCATACTGCTCGTTCTGTGCGTGATTTCCTGCAAGACAGGAATGTCAGTGTTCTGCCATGGCCAGCGAAGAGCCCGGATCTCAATCCCATTGAGCACGTCTGGGACCTGTTGGATCGGAGGGTGAGGGCTAGGGCCATTCCCCCCAGAAATGTCAGGGAACTTGTAGGTGCCTTGGTGGAAGAGTGGGGTAACATCTCACAGCAAGAATTGGCAAATCTGATGCAGTCCATGAGGAGGAGATGCACTGCAGTACTTAATGCAGCTGGTGGCCACACCAGATACTGACTGTTACACCCCCCCCCCCCTCCCTTTGTTCAGGGACACATTATTCAATTTATGTTAGTCACATGTCTGTGGAACTTGTTCAGTTTATATCTCAGTTGTTGAATCTTGTTATGTTCATACACATATTTACACATGTTAAGTTTGCTGAACATAAACGCAGTTGACAGTGAGGCCGTTTCTTTTTTTGCCGAGTTTATATAATGTATTCTTCTTTAAATAACAAAAACATATCACTTGAGTAAAAGTTCTGAGGTGCAATGGGGTGTACAGTGTCCTCTGAGAGACATAGCAGAGACATTCACCAGCAAGATCACATGTGGTTGACAAAGACAATTCATTAAGAATGAAAATGGTAGGATATGAACATTGCAAGCAGAGTGAAATTTGAAAATAAATCCTCAATTCACAATTGAAGGTCTAACTGCTCTTCTGTTAGCAACAAAGATGTAGAGGCCACAAACAGAATAAGGAACTTCATAGTGTATCTAATAGGGGTGTAACGATCCATCTACTACATCGATGTATCGATTTATATTCCTATGATCCAACTACATCCATCTGTGCTCGGCGAGTTGGCCTTTTGGACAACATATATCAATCTAACATCGTTTTAAAATGTAATAAATCGATTGTATCGATACTAGGAAATAACCCATTGGATTTAAGCACGTCAGACTTTATATGGATGTTTTTTCTTAGCACTTTTAATGATAAAGGCTTTAAACATTACTCGATTCAGTCTGCCTATCCGTGACGTCATCGCCCCGCGCCAGCAGCAGCGCAAAGGCGCAAAGACAACAAAACATAGCATGGCAGACGACAGAGGAGAAGAAATTATCAAGCCACCATTGCGGTCCTTACAAGAAACAGGAATCTAGGAAACTTCACCTGCACTGTCCAGTATCCAGGTATTTATTTCAGTCACACTGGTTGAATTTTTGGCTAAAAGGTTACTGAATCGATTTCAAGTCACTGAATCGTTTCGGATCGTATCGTTCTAAATGAACCAATATCGTCCTTGAATCGTATCGACAACCACGAATCGTGATACAAATCGAATCGTTGTTAAAACGAATCGTTACACCCCTAGTATCTAATACTGTACTATAAAGGTGTATGAGAAACAGTAAATACATAATTTTCTAACTTACTAAATAGGCACATGCATGCTAAAGGAGGAAACCCTAGCCACATGGCTATTATTACTGTTGCACTGAAGGTCCAGATTTGAATTCAAACCATTGCTCTCTGGATACACTGGAAACAGTCTTCACCTACATTAGTCATCTCTGGGAATATACCATTTGATCAATGGGGAGAATTAGCCTATCTGGACCTTGTTGTTGGACCTCAAGGCTGACAATTTGGTAGAGATTATAGTCTCAGATTGGGAGAATATAATTGCATTGGGGGAAGCATAAACTAGAACAATCGCTGTTGCACACACACAAACTCACATGGGGCAAGAAATGGACTGTTTGAATGGTCGGGAGCTAGACATGGTCAAATCCATTCATACGCAAGTAAAATGCGCTAGGGTGCTGAGTTGTATCAGAATTACAACTCCAGCTTTCACTGGGCCTTTACTGTATCACCCAACAATTATCAAGAATAATTCAAAAACATTTTTTTTTTTATATAGTATTTCTAATCATAACAACATTATTAATATTCACCATCAATAACAATACATTCTTACGTTTACGTCATTTAGCAGACACTCTTATCCAGAGCGACTTACAAATTCTTCATATTAAATGTAACTTAAATAATAATAAAAAAGAGCCCAACTAGCTAGTTTGATGATTTCTGAAACATGAAATCAAAAGAACAATATACTGCCTTCAAATTCTACTCAAAAGTGGGAAATACGAGGTTCCGACTGGGAAATAAGCACTTGAACGACCCTCCCAAGTCAGAGACAGAGAAGATACCCAATTTAAGAGTTGTGACGTTTCATCACTGACCTTTCATCTTTTCAACCATAAGATGATAAAGCAAATAAATGTTTGACGCTGTCAAACTTATCAGTGTGGATAATAGCTAGTTTGACCATATTGTCAAAGTTAAGCAAGCTAGCCAACTTTATCATTAGCAATGTTAGCTAGCTCATCTTGCTAGATGAAATCTCATTGGTTGAAGAATTGCTCTGACTTCTAAAACAGGACTTACGACTTCATAACTGGGAAATTTCCTGGTCCTGACAAGCATCTGAAGGGAGCAATATTCAATGGGACTTGGGAGAGGCTGGTTCAGGTCAAGAAGGGGGTAGTGTGAGACATATTGCTCTTCCATTGTCACAGACGAAACTATATGAGAAATCTGTCAAAGAAATAGTTAAGATAACGGTTAGTTGAGGAAATCCAAAACATTTTAAAAAATGGTATGTTTTTTGTGTGCAGCGTTACTGCTCTCTCACCATGACAACACTTCCTGTTGGGGCACCTCCTCTTCCTGAGGGCCTGGTCTCTTGAGCATACTGTCCTCCTCTGTACATACACATGAGTTAGGTTCATACAAATTAGCATGTAGACCACATTCACCTCCCTGTTTACAGTTGGACTAGGCCTAAATGAAACAATCGACCAATCATGCCTCATACCATTCAATTAGGTTTCTTGATTAGAATGATATTAAAACAACATGGATAAATGTACCACTCAGGTGTCCAGCTTCTTCGTCTTCCAAGAGGTTGGCAGTGGAGGCAGCATTACCCAGTCTGGTAGAGGATGTTAAGGAGAGTGGCAGGTGTTTATACATAATACTAAGCCTGCCAGTTCAGAGTCAATGCCATGAAAGGACCTAATTCAGTACAGCCCTAATGGTACGAAAATGTATGCACTCACTACTGTAAGTCGTTCTGGATAAGAGCGTCTGCTAAATGCCTAAAATGTAAATGTAATGAAGCCCAGCATATGACCCGCCAGCTGGATACTAAACGGGACTTTCCCTGGAACTCAAACCTACTGACAACAATAGAAACAAAGGCAGATATTACAGCCACTCATCAACATGCAGGGAAGTCTCTGAGGGATAGTTAATTACATCTGTACAATGCAAGCGCATCTGTTCAGTTCATTTGAAGCTCACTGTCACTTCTGGCAAGGACAAAAGACACATTGGGCAATGACTCCTGAGCATGGAGGCCTGCCAGGGAGAGGATCGTCTTGAAAACCCAACCCTAGGCAAGGGTCTGGTTTCAGTGGCCGACTCTTTTGGCAACTTCAATAAGGGAAAGAAATCTGGGGTGGGTCCTCTCAACAAATCACAAGGCAGACATGCCAGAACGTCACGATTCGAAACCAAAGTTTGCAGGCAAAACCTTTGCAGGGGTTTTCATGAAGTTTGTTGATGCAAACTAGCCACTTGCGAAATGCACTCATTAAAAATAACCTGTGATCTTTATCTTGCTAGCTACTATTTTGTATTTTATTCAAGCGGATAAAGTAGTGACGTAGTTCCTCTATGCCAAGTCCGTCATTGAAACCAGACCCTAGTCACTGTTGCCTAGGGTGGAGTTTCCGAGACTAGGGAAAGGAGGGGGGAGGTGATGGGTGGTGTAGGGGACCACTGATGAAGTGGAAGGATACGAATGGTGTTTCAGGAGGGCTCGTCTTTTCGTTTTTCTTCTTCGGGTCTTTTCAGAGAAAGCTCTAGCGATTTCAAAAAGCTTATTCCGCGTAGCTGTGGAGGATTACAGGATCAAATAGAAAGTGTTTTTTAATTTAATATGATTGTTCTGATTTGAGAATGCATATGTCCATGAATACATAATTATATATTTAAAAAACATCTTATTAACATCTTATTCACTGATTCAAGTGCAGCGATGGTAGGAAAGTTGGTTTTCCTATAGCTTTCTGGAGCACTGACTGTGAAAGGGTCATGTCCTGCAAATGTGTGTTGATTTATCTCAATGATCTAGCTGTATATTGACAGCATCCATCATTTACAGTTCCACACACTGCTAGAACCATTTCATGCTAACTGGACATGCCCAATGTGGAAAGTTCTAATAACATTTTGAATTTGGGAGTGATAAAGACACACACATTGAGAAAATGATTTGGTTATGCCCCAGAGAGCGGAGATTGAGTGTTCTTACATTTGCCCATGTGCTTGAGTTTGTCACGGAACAAGGCATCATCTGTAACATTGATGCAGGCCTCCCCAGAGCCTGAGGCATAATTATATCCTAGAACACAAACAAGCAGTGTGAAATAGACCACACACAGAGACATGCAAGTTCAGAGAAAGAGACACAGAGACGCACACAACAACTGAGATGCACAACAAGTCACATTTCCTCTGTGTGCCTTCAAAATAAGGTGTTTCACTGCAGGAGCCTACACAGGCCCCACATGAAGAAACCTGGACCTTTTCAGAGTGAGCTGGAACGAGAATGTAGATAAATGCTATGGAGTGCAGATTAATGATATCTACCTGGAGAGGACATCCCCATGAAAGCTGGTGAATGATGGGACTTGGATGTCTTTGACTCATACTGCAGCCAATCTAAAACAGAGAGAGCCGATGTCTCAGCATCAATGGAGTTATAAGCATGGAGGCACGTAGCAGGACCTGGCAAGCCTTCCTTCATGCACTACTAGAGAAGAGGTGGAGGAAATGAGGAGGAAAGCACTGCCATGACAGAGACCTTCTTTTACTGACTCTTCATAGCTTGATTGCTTGTGATGAAAGCATAGTGATATCATCACTAAGTACTGTATAACGTTTCTATGTGTTACTGAGTGTGTGCCTGGATGTGTGTGTGTGTGCACACCTCTCTCAAGGGCGATGAGGAACTCGCGGTTGCGTTGCAGCTCCTTCATAAACTCCTCGTTCTGCAGGAAGAGGGCTATGCGCTCATCCTCCAAGAACTGCTTCAACTTCCTCTCCTGGTCCGTCTCCATGCCAACCTGGCCCGCCCTGGCCGCCGCCCCAGGCTCAACCTGCTGCGTCACGGACAACAGGGAGGAAGAGCAGGATGGCTGGGTCAGACTAGTCTGGGTTAGGCTACTGTGAGAGCGCTGCAGGAAGGGAGGGACCAGAGAGAACACTGTTAGACGTGTCAAAGTCCTATGTGGTCTGCAAGTGATGGGAGTGTGGGTTAATGGTCCATTAGGGGCGGCTGACCCATAAATCTACCTACTGGCAGACTGTCCAGCTGCTGAGGCAGGATCCGCAGGAAGTCATCAGGGAGGTTGCCTAGTAACGGTGGGTTCCAGTTCCTGTAACTTCCAACCTGCCTTTGACTGGCAGGAGGGGGTGGACCAGGAGGGGGCTGGCAGGGACAGGATTGACTGGCATCAAAGCTGGCAGAGAGATGGGAAAGGATATTGTTAGTCCCATAAACCTGTCTGTTTATCTTATTTCTTCTCACATGTTCCCTCCTTGGAACACATAAGATGGACTACATCTAACAAAAGTATCACTAGTATTAGGTCTACGTATCCACCAAAGTTAGGGCACAGTACAGAACATGGATTTCATAGCTGCTGCAGTAGCATTCATTAGACAGCATGTGGAGCATTGACTGCATCAAGAACCTCTTGGCATTCAAAGCACGCCATGAATCGCTGAGCAGCCATATCATGTATTAGATATTGAGAAAGCACCAAAGAAGAATATATGCATCTCATCACTCATGTAAATAATGGTTTAAGAGAAAATGCATTCATTAATTCACACTATCCTAGCCATCTATCATTCTCCTTTAAGTGATGAAATGAGTTAAGAGCCAGGCAGACAGCCATGAGCCCTCCCTCCTTCCCTCCCCTTCTTCTCTTGCCTGGGTGGTGGTGAGGCTGTAGGCAGGACCTCATCTGGGTACTTCCTGTCGTAGATGTGCATGTCATAGGAGGGCGGGGAGTAGACCGGCGGGGGCTCCTCGTCAGAGCTGTCCGGCTCCAACGTCCGCTCCAGGATCTACAGTTCAGGGGAACCATTGAGAATGTTCTAAAAGGTCTTGAAAATCCCATCAGATGGCACATTTGGACACTTCAAAGAGCAGATTAAATGAATAACGAATCTGTATTATAACTACTCATTGGCAATGCAGCACAGCCTTTCTGCCCTAAATTAGAGGCATTGTGAGCGCTTGGTATTGAGCTGTTTTATTCAACTCGACCAGCAGCACTCTTTGGTTTGTATACTGTATTTAATAAATGGTTGATATAAATTAACTTTACTTTGAAAATAACAGCCTAGCATGTTAGGTAGAATATGCTCCACTGAGTGTCCAAAACATTAGGAACACTTGCTCTTTCCATGACATAGACTGACCAGGTGAATCCAGGCGAAAGCTATGATCCCTTATTAAAGTCACTTGTTGAACCCAAGAAGGATTTTTAAACCTTGAGAAAATTGAGAAATGGATTGTGTATGTGTGCCAATCAGAGGGTGAATGGGGAAGCCAAAATATTGAAGTGCCTTTGAACGGGGTATGGTAGTAGGTGCCAGGCACACCGGGTTGTGTCAAGAACTGCAACGCTACTGGGTTTTTCACGCTCAACAGTTTCCCATGTGTATCAAGATTGGTCCACCCCAAAGGACATCCAGCCAACTTAACACAACTATGGGAAGCAATGGAGTCAACATGGGCCAGCATCCCTGTGGAACACTTTCGACACCTTGTAGAGTCCACGCCCCGACGAATTGAGGCTGTTCTGAGGGCAAAATGGGGGGTGCAACTCAATATTAGGAAGGTGTTCTTAATGTTTTGTAAACTCAGTGTAATTATTAAGTACAGCTCTTAATCTTCTCCTCTTTCTCTCTCAGGTTTTTCAAAATTATTTGGGGGAAATAAACAAAACAGTTAATATCCTATGTGGAGCATGGTGGAATACAGCCAGAGTGCACAAAGGCTAATAAAAACACAAAATATGTCTGGAACTGAGAGACCTGCAGTAATTTAATCAAATACAAAGCGAACAGCTTGCCAGTCCAATATTGCACTTGATACAATCTTGTTACTACTCAGCAAGAGTTTATGTATCAGCACAAAGGGAGTTCATGACTGTCCAAAGGAATGGCTAGTCTTGGCTGTCCACAGCAGTCACCCCATTGTACGAGAGACCATAAAGTGTGTACCTCTTGCTATTGTCAAGCTTTTGAAGATAGCTTATCAAAGCTTTCTGTCCACAATAGCAGTGCATAATCACATGCCCTCCAGAGAAATGCATGTCACCTATTACAGAAGCATATTAAGAGCAACATCAAATACTTTTCCCTCCCCAAGAACAACCATCTGGTTTGAAGAGAGGCAAAGAGGCAAAATACAATGAAATAAGGCGTATGAATGAATAATTAATATTGGGTGAAAAAGTAGTTAACAACCTTGACAAACATTTCATGATATGGTCTCAGACTATCTTAGGTTGTGTTCATTTAAATGTATCTGGGCTACCCACTAGTTCTCGTACCAGTGCCCCTGCCCCCATGCAGACGTACCTCAGGAGGGATACTGTCCTCTGAGTCGGAGCTGTCGTCAGAGCCGTCTCCGTCCAGGCTCATTTGGAGCAGCTGGTTGATAGTGGAGTCCACGGCTCCGTGGTTGGCCCGCAGCACACACTCTATCACCTCCTGCTCCATGCTGGGGAACATGGTCCTGAAGTCCTCCATAGCCTGGTTGAACTCCAGACACCGCACCGTTCGCCCACCCCCACCGGGATTACTGTTGTTGAGTTCAGCTGGGACTGGGCTGTCGCTGTGCGCCGACACATCACCATGGTTACCACTGCTGCTGCTGTGGCGGCGGAACAGGCTGGTCATCATCCAGAGAGCCTCCAGCCTCCGCACGGCGCCCCTCCTCCGTGCCGGCAACACCACCCAAGAAATGGTGGCTCCTGGTCCCTGGACGGTGGGCGCCCACCGCCTGCCTCCCCTCCCCAGGCCTGGCTCAACCCTGGCCTGCTGCTTCAACTGTGCCTGTCCACCTCAGGGCCCTCAGCCCCGCTATCCTCTCATCATCACAACACCACAGACAGCCATTCTCTCTTCTTCTTCCTCTGTTTTTGACCCAGATGCATCCAATGCTGTGAGGATATGGTGCCTTGTCTCCCCAGGCAGGCAGTGTGTGGAAGACACAGTGCTATGTTCTCTCTGAGCAGAGGTGGACTAGAAGTGCCCTAAGACTTACAGCCCACGCATCCCTTCAGCACCTGCAGTGTTGGGAACAGAAACAGGATGTCAGGAACAGCAGCCATGTTGTGGAGAAGCAGACAGACATCATGACTGAGCATCACAATGAGCAGCGGCGCAAATTGACAAGTTCCTCTCGAGCAATAGCCGAAGTGTGTGAGGTTATATAAAAGAAGGCTACACATTTCTTGATGACACACACAGAGAGAGAAAGCGGCGTTACAATGGCAAAGGTGCATAAAGATAGCAGCCCCCCATGTTCTTCCCACAAACGCCTCATTTGCTAAGTTCGCCGTATTGGTTCAAAACTTTTATAAAACATCACAGTACAGTTGAAAAATATATGGCAAATAGAAATCCTATATGGATGGTGTTAAGAGATAGATGGGTGGTGTTGAATGGAGTTGAAGGATGGGACTAATAACAACTAACAACAACTAATAACAAGATAACTAATAATGTAAGCATACTGTGTCCATAATAGGTATATAGGTTGTAGGTTGGGAGCTTTTGTGAAAGAGCACAGTTAGAAAGATATGGCATATAAAAGCAAACCGGATGGACATCATGAAAATGATCGGAGAGGTTGAGAGTAGAAGAAGTTCAGGATAAAAAAAACTAACAAAATATAATTATTGTCAAATTGACTGTGTCCATAAAATGTATATAGTAAGTATAAGCTGGAAATAGAGGCCTAAGCATTGTTGTTCACTAGTTTACTCCAATTAGGGAAAGGGTGGTGGGGTTGGAAAGTAATGAAGGGGAATATATATTTTTTAAAAGGATATGTATGTGTATGTATGTACAGTGGGGAGAGTATTTGATACACTGCCGATTTTGCAGGTTTTCCTACTTACAAAGCATGTAGAGGTCTGTAATTTTTATCATAGGTACACTTCAACTGTGAGAGACGGAATCTAAAACAAAAATCCAGAAAATCACATTGTATGATTTTTAAGTAATTAATTTGCATTTTATTGCATGACATAAGTATTTGATACATCAGAAAAGGAGAACTTAATATTTGGTACAGGAACCTTTGTTTGCAATTACAGAGATCATACGTTTCCTGTAGGTCTTGACCAGGTTTGCACACACTGCAGCAGGGATTTTGGCCCACTCCTCCATGCAGACCTTCTCCAGATCCTTCAGGTTTCGGGGCTGTCGCTGGGCAATACAGACTTTTAGCTCCCTCCAAAGATTTTCTATTGGGTTCAGGTCTGGAGACTGGCTAGGCCACTCCAGGACCTTGAGATGCTTCTTACGGAGCCACTCCTTAGTTGCCCTGGCTGTGTGTTTTGGGTCGTTGTCATGCGGGAAGACCCAGCCTTGACCCATCTTCAATGCTCTTACTGAGGGAAGGAGGTTGTTGGCCAAGATCTCGCGATACATGGCCCCATCCATCCTCCCTTCAATACGGTGCAGTCGTCCTGTCCCCTTTGCAGAAAAGTATCCTCAAAGAATGATGTTTCCACCTCCATGCTTCACGGTTGGGATGGTGTTCTTGGGGTTGTACTCATCCTTCTTCATCCTCCAAACACGGCGAGTGGAGTTTAGACCAAAAAGCTCTATTTTTGTCTCATCAGACCACATGACCTTCTCCCATTCCTCCTCTGGATCATCCAGATGGTCATTGGAAAACTTCAGACGGGCCTGGACATGCGCTGGCTTGAGCAGGGGGACCTTGCGTGCGCTGCAGGATTTTAATCCATGACGGCGTAGTGTGTTACTAATGGTTTTCTTTGAGACTGTGGTCCCAGCTCTCTTCAGGTCATTGACCAGGTCCTGTCGTGTAGTTCTGGGCTGATCCCTCACCTTCCTCATGATCATTGATGCCCCACGAGGTGAGATCTTGCATGGAGCCCCAGACCGAGGGTGATTGACCATCATCTTGAACTTCTTCCATTTTCTAATAATTGCGCCAACAGTTGTTGCCTTCTCACCAAGCTGCTTGCCTATTGTCCTGTAGCCCATCCCAGCCTTGTGCAGGTCTACAATTTTATGCCTGATGTCCTTACACAGCTCTCTTGTCTTGGCCATTGTGGAGAGGTTGGAGTCTGTTTGATTGAGTGTGTGGACAGGTGTCTTTTATACAGGTAACGAATTCAAACAGGTGCAGTTAATACAGGTAATGAGTGGAGAACAGGAGGGCTTCTTAAAGAAAAACTAACAGGTCTGTGAGAGCCGGAATTCTTACTGGTTGGTAGGTGATCAAATACTTATGTCATGCAATAAAATGCAAATTAATTACTTAAAAATCATACAATGTGATTTTCTGGATTTTTTGATGAAAATTACAGACCTCTACATGCTTTGTAAGTAGGAAAACCTGCAAAATCGGCAGTGTATCAAATACTTGTTCTCCCCACTGTATGTACAGTGGGGGAAAAAAGTAGGTATGGTGTTCTTTGGATGCAAGTAGGTATGGTGTTCTTTGGATGCAACTCAGCATTCTTTGTCCTCCAAACACGACGAGTTGAGTTTTTACCAAAAAGTTCTATTTTGGTTTCATCTGACCACATGACATTCTCCCAATCCTCTTCTGGATCATCCAAATGCACTCTAGCAAACCTCAGACAGGCCTGGACATGTACTGGCTTAAGCAGGGGGACACGTCTGGCACTGCAGGATTTGAGTCCCTGGCGACGTAGTGTGTTACTGATGGTAGGCTTTGTTACTTGTGGTCCTCTGTAGCTCAGCTGGTAGAGCACGGCGCTTGTAACGCCAAGGTAGTGGGTTCGATCCCCGGGACCACCCATACACAAAAAATGTATGCACGCATGACTGTAAGTCGCTTTGGATAAAAGCGTCTGCTAAATGGCATATTATTATTATTATTACTTTGGTCCCAGCTCTCTGCAGGTCATTCACTAGGTCCCCCTGTGTGGTTCTGGGATTTTTGCTCACCGTTCTTGTGATCATTTTGACCCCACGGGGTGAGATCTTGCGTGGAGCCCCAGATCGAGGGAGATTATCAGTGGTCTTGTATGTCTTCCATTTCCTAATAATTGCTCCCACAGTTGATTTCTTCAAACCAAGCTGCTTACCTATTGCAGATTCAGTCTTCCCAGCCTGGTGCAGGTCTACAATTTTGTTTCTGGTGTCCTTTGACGGCTCTTTGGTCTTGGCCATAGTGGAGTTTGGAGTGTGACTGTTTGAGGTTGTGGACAGGTGTCTTTTATACTGATAACAAGTTCAAACAGGTGCCATTAATACAGGTAACGAGTGGAGGACAGAGGAGCCTCTTAAAGAAGAAGTTACAGGTCTGTGAGAGCCAGAAATCTTGCTTGTTTGTAGGTGACCAAATACTTATTTTCCACCATCATTTGCAAATAAATTCATAAAAATCCTACAATGTGATTTTCTGCATTTTTTTTCTCAATGTGTCTGTCAAGTTGATGTGGAACATATGATGAAAATTACAGGCCTCTCTCATCTTTTTTAAGTGGGAGAACTGCACAATTGGGGGCTGACTTCTACATTACTTTTTTCTCCCCACTGTATGTCTGTTATATGTGTATGTGTTGTTGTATGTGTGTTTATCAATGATGTTAGTATATAGTATAATATATATATAATATATATATATATATATATATATATATTATATTTATATATATTATTATATATATAAAAAATGGGGATGAAGTGATGCAGACAATTACATTGATGGGTCCATATATTAATATACTATTTATCAATACATTGTGAGAAGGAGGCAGTGATACTTTCTTTAAAGTCTCACTGCCTCCTTCTCACAAATGATCCCAAAAATATAAAAATTTAATAAAGTTGGTTCAACTCAGTGGCGGGTCATTTTGACCCTAGGACAACGGGAGGGTTAAGTTGATCTACCCCCTAAAAAATAAAAAAAATAAAAGTTTGCCGTATTGTACAGTGCACTCAGTTAATTCTAGCTCCAATTTGAAAAAACGAATGAGTAGATTGTGCTGATTTATTGGCACATGGAACCATGTTGCGTGTGTAGTTTAAAAACTCTGAGGATAGTGCTCAAACAACGTCATCATATTTTAATTTCTCTATCTTTTTTCTCCATTCAGCTGTGGGTCCCTCTCAGGCAGAGTCGCTGTCTGATAGCATTACTTTCCCGACCTCGACACCCTGCATCAGCCCCACCACCCTAGGCGTCCGCATTCCCACGGCAATGCTTGTGTCCCCAGGCACCATAATAGAGTCAGCCAGTGCCAGGGGAGGGCAGAGCACCGTGACCCAGAGGGCAGCCACATGCACGGCCTAAGTAGGTTACAGAGACACAGTGACGCCCAGGCCGGGCGGTGTGACTATGAAGCCAGCCTAGCCCAGCTGCGCCTCATCACAGTCAGTCAGTAGGCATTAGACAGTGTCAGATTAGGGCCAATAAGCGTTCGCAGAGGCACTGGATCAAGTATTGTTTAAATGCTAGTAGGGCCTGAGACTCGGAACAGGTGGTGTAACTGAACCTGGTACCCTGCTGCTGTATCAGAGCACAAGGAGAGCAGGCAGATTGTCCCATATCTCTGCTCTAGATCATACTGCACTGCCAGGGGAGGTCGTTTGAAAACATAATGGAGCACTCAGAATGAAATAGGGCAGTGTGACGTGAACCTGTGAATCACAGTACTGCACCAAGGACACACTGCTCTGCTCTGCACTGTCCTATGGATTGGCTGCGAACAGTTCTAAGAGTTTCTGCTCAAAAAAGTTTTCTAGACGTCATGGCACACCATTACCATATGATCTGATACAGAGAAGTGCCACTGTTCAGCAGAGGCCAGACAGTGACCATACAAAAAGAGTCAGAACATACATTAATACTTTCGCTTTAGCATAATTGATGTTAGGCTAAACTGAATGAAAGACAGGATTGACTTACAGCAACAGATTCACAAGCAGAATAACTCGTCAAGCTCTTCTTCCAGATACCTCTCTGGGATAAAATAGGCCTAATCCAACATCCTACAGGCAGACATCAATTGAAGCCAGTGAGCTGTCTGGGGGGAGAGAGCCCACGGTGTCAAATCAATCATCTCAGAGCTGGCTGAATTATATTCCCCACACACTGATCCCTCACGTTTCACTATTCAACACTAATCTGAACCTAGCGCCCAGCTATATTTAGCACCACAATCCACGACAGCTCTTTGTCCTCATGTAGGCTGTTGTAGCTGCTTACCGATATGGGAGCCAGGGGAGGACTGCTTTGCTCTTGTGAATTACACGCAGCATAGGGCTTTCTTACGTCACCCATTACTAATGCCTGCTGGTTTAGGCCCTGAGCTGATTACATACAGTGGGGAGAACAAGTAGTTGATACACTGCCGATTTTGCAGGTTTTCCTACTTACAATGCATGTAGAGGTCTGTAATTGTTTATCATAGCTACACTTCAACTGTGAGAGACGGAATCTAAAACAAAAATCCAGAAAATCACATTGTATGATTTTTAAGTAATTAATTTGCATTTTATTGCATGACATAAGTATATGATCACCTACCAACCAGTAAGAATTCCGGCTCTCACAGACCTGTTAGTTTTTGTTTAAGAAGCCCTCCTGTTCTCCACTCATTACCTGTATTAACTGCACCTGTTTGAACTCGTTACCTGTATAAAAGACACCTGTCCACACACTCAATCAAACAGACTCCAACCTCTCCACAATGGCCAAGACCAGAGAGCTGTGTAAGGACATCAGGGATAAAATTGTAGACCTGCACAAGGCTGGGATGGGCTACAGGACAATAGGCAAGCAGCTTGGTGAGAAGGCAACAACTGTTGGCGCAATTATTATAAAATGGAAGAAGTTCAAGATGACGGTCAATCACCCTCGGTCTGGGGCTCCATGCAAGATCTCACCTCGTGGGGCATCAATGATCATGAGGAAGGTGAGGGAACAGCCCAGAACTACATGGCAGGACCTGGTCAATGACCTGAAGAGAGCAGGGACCACAGTCTCAAAGAAAACCATTAGTAACACACTACGCCGTCATGGATTAAAATCCTGCAGCGCACGCAAGGTCCCCCTGCTCAAGCCAGCGCATGTCCAGGCCCATCTGAAGTTTGCCAATGACCATCTGGATGATCCAGAGGAGGAATGGGAGAAGGTCATGTGGTCTGATGAGACAAAAATAGAGCTTTTTGGTCTAAACTCCTCTCGTCGTGTTTGGAGGAAGAAGAAGGATGAGTACAACCCCAAGAACACCATCCCAACCGTGAAGCATGGAGGTGGAAACATCATTCTTTGGGGATGCTTTTCTGCAAAGGGGACAGGACGACTGCACCGTATTGAGGGGAGGATGGATGGGGCCATGTATCGCGAGATCTTGGCCAACAACCTCCTTCCCTCAGTAAGAGCACAGCATGACAACGACCCGAAACACACAGCCAGGGCAACTAAGGAGTGGCTCCGTAAGAAGCATCTCAAGGTCCTGGAGTGGCCTAGCCAGTCTCCAGACCTGAACCCAATAGAAAATCTTTGGAGGGAGCTGGAAGTCCGTATTGCCCAGCGACAGCCCCAAAACCTAAAGGATCTGGAGAAGGTCTGTATGGAGGAGTGGGCCAAAATCCCTGCTGCAGTGTGTGTAAACCTGGTCAAGACCTACGGGAAACTGATGATCTCTGTAATTGCAAACAAAGGTTTCTGTACCAAATATTAAGTTCTGCTTTTCTGATGTATCAAATACTTATGTCATGCAATAAAATGCAAATTAATTACTTAAAAATCATTCAATGTGATTTTCTGGATTTTTGTTTTAGATTCCGTCTCTCACAGTTGAAGTGTACCTATGATAAAAATTACAGACCTCTACATGATTTGTAAGTAGGAAAACCTGCAAAATCGGCAGTGTATCAAATACTTGTTCTCCCCACTGTATAGGGCCTACCGGTAGTAGACAAAGGACTGTTTGATTAAGCTCTGTGATGAAAGACAGACACAATGGACAACATGTGGTGATACAGTGGCTTGCGAAGGTATTCACCCCCCTTGGCATTTTTCCTATTTTGTTGCCTTACAACCTGGAATTAAAATGGATTTTTGGGGGGTTTGTATCATTTGATTTACACAACATGCCTACCACTTTGAAGATGCAAAATATCTTTGGGGGAGCGTGCATAACTATTTACCCCAACCAAAGTCAATACTTTGTAGAGCCACCTTTTGCAGCAATTACAGCTGCAAGTCTCTTGGGTTATGTCTCTATAAGCTTGGCACATCTAGCCACTGGGATTTTTGTCCATTCTTCAAGGCAAAACTACTCCAGCTCCTTCAAGTTGGATAGGTTCCGCTGGTGTACAGCAATCTTTAAGTCATACCACAGATTCTCAATTGGATTGAGGTCTGGGCTTTGACTATGCCATTCCAAGACATTTAAATGTTTCCCCTTAAACCACTCAAGTGTTGCTTTAGCAGTATGCTTAGGGTCATTGTCCTGCTGGAAGGTGAACCTCCGTCCCAGTCTCAAATCTCTGGAAGACTGAAACAGGTTTCCCTCAAGGGATGGTGTTCTCGGGGTGATGAGAGGTGTTGGGTTTGCGCCAGACATAGTGTTTTCCTTGATGGCCAAAAAGCTAAATTTTAGTCTCATCTGACCAGAGTACCTTCTTCCATTTGTTTGGGGAGTCTCCCACATGCCTTTTGGCAAACACCAAATGAGTTTGCTTATTTTTTTCTTTAAGCAATGGCTTTTTTCTGGCCACTCTTCCGTAAAGCCCAGCTCTGTGGAGTGTACGGCTTAAAGTGATCCTATGGACAGATACTCCAATCTCCGCTGTGGAGCTTTGCAGCTCCTTCTTTGGTCTCTTTGTTGCCTCTGATTAATGCCCTCCTTGCCAGGTCCGTGAGTTTTGGTGGGCGGCCCTCTCTTGGCAGGTTTGTTGTGGTACCATATACTTTCCATTTTTTTATAATGGATTAAATGGTGCTCCGTGGGATGTTCAACATCTTAGTCATTTAGCAGACGCTCTTATCCAGAGCAACTTACAGTTAGTGAGTGCATACATTTTCATACTGGCCCCCCGTGGGAATCGAACCCACAACCCTGGCGTTGCAAACGCCATGCTCTACCAACTGAGCTACACGGGACTACACAAAGTTTCAGATATTTTTTTATAACCCAACCCTGATCTGTACTTCTCCACAACTTTGTCCCTGACCTGTTTGGAGAGCTCCTTGGTCTTCATGGTGCCGCTTGCTTGGTGGTGCCCCTTGCTTAGTGGTGTTGCAGACTCTTGGGCCTTTCAGAACAGGTGTATATATACTGAGATCATGTGACACTTAGATCGCACACAGGTGGACTTTATCTAACTTATTATGTGACTTCTGAAGGTAATTGTTTGCACCAGATCTTATTTTATACATATGCACCCACCACTTTTCCTTCATTTATTTTTTGCATTTTTCCAAACAAGTTATTTTTTAAATTTCACTTCACCAATTTGGACTATTTTGTCCATTTGTCCATTACATGAAATCCAAATAAAAATCCATTTAAATTACAGGTTGTAATAAAATAGGAAAACGCCAAGGGGGATGAATACTTTTGTAAGGCACTGTAGATAGGCCTATACACAAATATTATGATCTTTGGCTAGATAGGCCTAGCCTAGATGTTTTGGATTTAGCCAATCAATATGAAAAGAGGGGATCTCTTACAGGAACCTCAAAATCCTCCTCCTGAGATAAGGTATCATTGTAGGCAGCGATGTAATCATATGAGAAAATGACAGTGTAGGCTACATGGTATACATTGTTGGCAGTATGGCCTCCTCTCCTGCAGTGAATAGCTCATTAGGACTATGACACTCCCCCTACCATTCTAATCATTAAACAATCCACAATCCTTTTCTCACCTTCCAATATTGCATGGATTGGACAATTGAATATGGCAAGGATGAATCAAACCACTGTATTTTTGATTCACCAATATACACTGAGTGTACAAAACATTAGGAACACCTGCTCTTTCTATGACATAGACTGACCAGGTGAATGCTATGATCCCTTATAAAAATCCACTTCAATCCGTGTAGATGAAGGGGATGAGACAGGTTAAAGAAGGATTCTTAAGCCTTGAGACAATTGAGACATGGATTGTGTATGCGTGCCATTCAGAGGGTGAATGGGCAAGACAAAATATTTAAGTGTCTTTGAACGGGGTATGGTAGTAGATGCCAGGCGCACCGGTTTGAATGTGTCAAGAACTGCAACGCTGCTGGGTTTTTTATGCTCAACAGTTTCCAGTATACCTCCAGCCAAC